AGAACTAGAGGAAAGTTGTATGTTTCATCGTTGCTACACTGCACCCTGACTGGCTTGTCTCCTCCCTATGACCCTTCTGTAAGGGGATGTCCAGTTGCCTACTGATGGGCTTTGGGTCTCCATTCCGCACCCCCCCTCATTCCCAATGATATGATTTTTTGCTCGGAGACTAGGTTCGTATGAAACAGTGCACACAGAGACTGGCCAGACTCAGGCCCGTGGGTCAAAAATCAGCCTGGAGGCTTTTCCTGATTGGCTAGCTGTAGGGCCCCAGGAACCCAAGATTAGTGTGTCAGATGGCATGCTGCTGACTTACAGGGCTGCAGAGGGCCACAAATCCCCAAATCGGCAGGCAATGTGTCAGGCCGCTCAAGTCCCATGAACTGAGAGGTCATAGCTAGGGAGAGAGAAAGTCAGCGAGCTTTGCCGGTGCGTATTGGAGATGTTGGATGCAGACCACACCCTCAAGGCGACTCCCGAGAGCTGATTGGCTGATCCCATCAGCCCACATCATGGAAGGGAGACACCGTGTCAAGGAATGGAGGATAACCACCTCATTGCCTAACTGCCAAAGTACATCACTAGGTAACTGCCAAACCCCACGCCAAGGTGAGTATACAAGAGGAACACCTGATTGGTAAATCTTTGAAGCTGAATACATTTTACAGAAACGATTTCATTTGAACAGGGTTGGGGGGGCGGTGTTTCTCTTGTTTTCCTTCGGGGAGAGAGGGAAGCTTCTGAGAAACATGGATCAGTGCTGCCCACCTCCCCACGCCCGCCCCGTGCCTACCACCATCCTGGCCCTGTGCCAGAGGCTGAGTGGCTGTTTCTCCCTCTGCTACATGTGCCGTGTGTCCCCTGACTATCCGCTGTGACATTCTCCCAATCATCTGTGATTGCATCCCAACCTCTCGTCCCGGAGGTTTGGAAGAGGCTGCGAGCATGTTTGTAGAAAACCATTTTAATACACAAAACCAAAAAGGATACATCCTTTCCAAGACTTAGGACCCAAGCCTTGAATATCCAGGGCTCTTCAGAATGGATCCGCATGGCCCTTAGTTTTGATCGTGTATTAATCCAGTGAGCAGCCTCATCTTGGAGTGCCTGCTGGGTTTGAACTGGTGACCTGGTGATTAGCAGCCCGATGCTAACCCACTAGGCCACCGAGGCTCCTTAAACTCAAAAAGCTCACAGCCTTCGAGTGGTGTGGTAGCTACATAATCTGTTGTTAATTTGAGACTTAGGAGTGAAGGGGTGGAGTTAAGCCTGTCAATTAGCTTGATGACCTCATTTGGAGGCGATAAGGACATAGATAGCCCACTGGAGGGGGAACACAGGCTCACTCCCTGGGAGACATTGCAGCTGACAAGACACATGGAGCTAAGCTAGTGCCCTGAGCTGGAGGAGCCACGTAGAGCCCCTGCCAGCACTGAGATGCCTATATCGCTGCTGGATCTACAAAACTTCCACCCACTGGCCTGTGATCTTGCTGCATTTGGCGTCATTGCATGTGTTGCGTGAGTCTGAAGAGGACTTTATAGATTGGTCTTGGCACATGGGCTACTATCAGACTTATGGACTTGATCTGGACTGGGCTGGGATGTCGTCTCAATAGTCAATTGCTCTTGGAAAAAAAGCTCTTTCTTATACACATAGGAGTGTGTCTGGATTTGTTTCTCTAGTCAACCCGGACTCACACAGCTCACAGCAACCCTATGAGACTGAATAGAGCTGCCCCGTGGGCTTCTGAGCTGTTCATCTTTACAGAGCAGGACGCCTTTGCTTTTTCTAGTGGTTGGCAGCCCCACCTGTGACCCACCAGAGCTCCTTAAAAGAAGTCTACATTCCAATCCTGCCACAGCAGCCCAAAGGACGGGCATATTTCCCCCTTCATTTTGTAGCTTCTCTCAAAGGGGATGAACCATCTAGCATGTGTGAAATTACAATTATATATATATATATAATATAAATGATTATATATACATAATCATATACCCAGCTGCAATAGCCATAAAATACAAAACCAGTTTTTAAAATTATCTTTTTCCCCACCCTCTTTCACCCAAGCAAGTCTACTCTGATCCTTACGAGGAAGTCAGGCCTTACCGGCTGAGCCGCACAACAGCCCGGGATTGACTCTTTCCCAGGAGGGAAGGGGGGTCCTGGAATGCCTAGGGCAGCAGCGAGGCAGAAGAAACGGCCGGACTAGAGTTTCTTCTCATTTCCACCTCGCTTATTTGAAGCTGGCATCTTTCCCTGTGCTGTGGACTCAGTTGCATCCCTTAAAATAGATGTGCTAAATCCTGAACCCGAGGAGGCCTGGTGAGGTAGTGGGTTCTGCCTTGGATTGTGAACTGCCAAGATCAGCAGTTCAAAACCACCAGGTGCCCCTTGGGAGAAAGAGGAGGCTCTCTGCTCCCTAAAGCGTTACAGCCTCAGGAATCCCCGGGGGGTGGGGAGGGTCACTAAGATCAGCATCAATTTGATGGTGATGAGTCAAAGTCTTCATCCCGAGAGGAAGAGGGAAAAAAAGAGGAAAGCCCTCAAAGAGGGGGATCGAAGCCTCAGTGGGTTCACACAGCTGTGAGGATGGTGCTGGACCAGTGCTTCACTCTGCTGTGCAAGAGGGCCACTGGGAGTTACAACTGACTCCACGGCCCCGAACAGCCACACACTGGTGCCTAGAACCCACCTGGGAACGACTTTTCTGTCGTATGGCGCTGGGGCAGCACCCTGGTAGGGCATCACAAATCCGCCTCTTCTGAGATAGGAAAGAGTAGCTTTGACGCAAGCAGTAGTTGGAGAAGGGGTGCCCTGCCACCCGGCAGCCACTCTGCAGGAGCAGGATGAGGCTGTCTGCTCCCCTAACGGCCGGCAGGCTGGGAAGCCTCCGAGGGTCACCACGAGTCGGGGTCGACTCGGTGGCAGTGGATTTGGTTTGTTTGCCGGTGCAGCACTGGGTTGGGTGCAGCCCTAGGCTGCTGACCAAATGGGTGGCAGTTGGAACCCAGCAGTGGCTCTCCAGGAGGAAGATGAGGCTGACTGCGCCCTCAGACACTGGCCGTCTTGGGAACCCTGTGGAACAGTTCTGCTCTGCCCTATAGAGTCATCTGTGAGACTTGACCCCCGGATTAGAGGGGGAGACAGGCTCTGCCACATGCCTGCTAAAGCATCGAAGCTGGAGAGGCCCAGGCCTTCCCTGGAGTTGACAGACGGAGCTGGCACCCTGGACTGACTAGCTTTCTCCACGGTGGGAGAATCGGTTTCGTTGGTTTTAAAGTAGTCTGTCTGCTGGTGGTTATTTCTGTTTCAGCTGCACTCGATCACTAAGCAGCCGGGGAATAGACTGAACCTCTTTCCCCCATTCAAATTTTGGTGGCGCAGTGGTTACGAGCAAGGTCAGCAGGGAGAAACTGCTGGCAGCTCTGCGGGAGAAAGACAGAGCGCCCTTCTTTTCCCTGATGGGGAAAAATCCTTTCCTGTTCTGGGCAAAGGAACCCTGGTGCTGCCTCCTCCCTAAGCATGTGCCTGGCCAGTCCCAGCAGAGAAGGGGTCCACTCAGACCATTTCCCAGGGGCAATGGGAGAGGGAGTCCCATTGGCCATGGGGCCCAGCACCCACAGTAGGAAGCTGATCTTGATTGGTCTCTCCTCGGTGTGAAACTAAGCAACATGGGCAAAGGGCTGTCCCAACCAGCGCCTGCAGGACAGTGTTCTTTGTCTTGGGGGCCTCAGACTGGACACACGCAGCTAGCTGGGTCCGGGAAGGGAAAGCAGGAACGCACTGCAACATGTGTGTGATGGTTCCATCCAGGGAAGAGGCAGGAACTCAGCATCCAAAGTTTTCATTGGAAGTTCGTCCCCGTACCCAGCACAACTCCAGACTCCTGGTAGGAAATCAGGCGTGTGTTAGGCAGGGTTCGCTAGAGAAACAAAACCGGGACACTTATGATTATATGTAGACAGATAGATAGATAGATAGATAGGTAGATAGATAGGCTTATATAATAAGAAGGGAGGGCTATAACAGAAGTATGGGTTAGGGTGAAGTTCAACTCACTTTTGTGGAACAGCTAATGTACTGGAAGTCCTTCAGCTCAAGGGGTCCAGGCTCAAGGAAGCAGACAGTAGAGTCCTCCCTTGGGCAAGGCAGGCAGTCTGCTCACAGGCAGCAAACAGCAGGGTGGGTCAGCAACAGTCAGTAGCTCAGGAGCTTAGGGAAGCAGGCCCGGATGGGATATCGAACTCACGCAATGCAAGGCGACAGGATCCACGAGCCTCAAGCTCAAGTGATATTTGTACCAGCAGCGTCTCAAAGGAGCCTCAAGCTCTAGCGACAGCATCCACAGGTTGGCTTGGACGGCAGGTAGTGTCATCCACAGGCTGACGCAGAGAACTAGCTAAAGCAGCAGCACAGTGGGCCGATCACCAGAGAGCAAGAGAAATGGGGGCGGGACTTGCAGAGCCATTGATCTCTTTGCCCTCCAATCAAACGGTGACCCGATTAATCCCACATGTTCCTATTGGCCAGGTTGAGACAATAAATGTAACTCTCACAGGTGCTCAGTGTAAACCAGTGTTTGCACAAATAGTGGAGGCATAGCGAATCTAGGCTTAACTCCCACCACTGCTGGTGAGGAAATGGTGGGGACAAGCCCCACGCCCATGTTTCCCAGCTGCCAGAAGAAGGGTTGGCCAGGATCCTGCCATTGTTCCGTTTCGCCCTCATGACTACCCAGCAGTGTTGCTATCACGTTGGCACTGCACCCACATCCTGTTCCTCACCAACCATCCACCTAATGCTTCTCACCCAATGACCGAGTCCATTCCATCGGGGACCAGGGCATGCCACCGCTCCCATCTTTCTGCAAGCACTCCTTTCCCTCCTGCAGTGGGAGCCACTGGTTCCCTTGAACCCAACAGCAACTTTTTAATAAAGATCTGAACTTGGGGGAAGGGCAAGGCACGACACACAGAAAGAAAGAGAAACACCGGAAGCATTTTTGGAAAAATAATGTATGCATCACATACGATTGGCAGATCCGTGTCAATAAATTATTTTCTCAGTGCTTGGGGAAAAAACACCAAAGTGAAACGGTTTTCAACACCAAAGCATCACCGGGGGCCCCCGAGGACTGGGTTCATGGGCCCACCTTGCTTTTCAGAGAATCAGGGAGGGAGGAACCATCTCTTTCTGCATTTTTTGGAATAGCTTTTTGGCTTTCAGCTGCAGAACCTGGTCCCAGCCCTGCAGCGTGAAGCGTCAGAAAGTCCCATCGGTGACTTCGTGAGGGTGAGATCCTGGCCCAGAGGTGAGGAGAAGGCTTCTCTGGGGGGCCTAGTGGGGCAAAGCTGAACCAGGACGAGACAAGAGACCAACAGAGGATGCTACTGAGATGCTTAGCGAGGAGTCCTCTCCTGGACCAGCTTCCTCTCCTGCTTGTCTGTGGGTAACCCTTAGTGGATCACGGACCACCCTAAAGCAGCAGCAGTTGGTATAATCTGGACGTGGGTATTTCTCCCATCAGTTTCTAGAATCTGGAGGCTGAGCCCTGTAGGACCCCCGACTGAACATAGGTTGTTTCCAGGGTGCCAAAGAGGTGCAAGCCCCTGATCAATGAGGGCATTTGGCTGATCGTCCCAGCCTGGGCCGATTGGGCCAGGGTGTTATGCAAGAAGGGGGGGCCCTTGGCTAGGACGGGATTATCCGCACGATCACACTGGAGTTGGTTATCCGGGCTCCATAGTGGCCGGCCCAAAACTGTGTGTCCCGGCCGCGGTGTTCGAAAAACACATAGCGGACACCCATCTCCACGTTGGAAAACAGGTGGGTGACCTGTGGACAGAGGAGAGGGTCAGCCCCTTCTGCCAATCGTACCTTCACAAGCCGAGCCCTCCCAAAGATGGCCACACAACACCCCCAATTCTACCTACCCTTCCAGAGCCCGGCCCTGCCCTCCTCAAGAGCTCCAGTCTAACACCCACCTACCCCCTTGAATTGAGTGAGCTTGCTTATAGACAAGAGACTAGTGGGAGTAACGCTGAGATATTTTCACCAAGTGACTTCCAAGTCCAGGCCAGAAAAGACAGGGCTGCTTCTGCCTGTTTCCCTAGGACCCTCCTATGAAAGCATGAGCCACCAGAAGAGTCCTTTGACTGCCCTGAGGCCATTATGCTGTGAGGAAGTCCAATCCAGCTGAGACACGAAGATTCCCCCCTCGTGCTCTGTCAGCAACCAGCTGCTTCAGTCCTTCCCGCTACCTCTCCAGCTCTGTCCTGCACCCAAACCGCCCAGCTAAGCCCTGTCCCAATCACCGACACATAATAACCATGAGGGAGAAAATAGATTTTCACCTACACAGCTGTGGTTGGGTGATTTAATACCCTAAACAGGCTCCCACCATCCTCTTCCCACCGGCCTACCCCGGTCTCACCTGAACGTAGGCATTGTTGTTCCACTGCTCAATGGGGTTAGGGGTGGCGAAGAATTCACCCAAGATAACCTGGTTGGCATCCCACAGCTGGACAATGAGTTTATACTGACAGCCACAGTCATGTCGGGCTCCCCACCTGTGGATGGGAGGAGGATGTGCTTACGGACTGACCTGTGTCCCCCACCAAAGACGTTATGTAGCCTCTAACCTCTGGTACCTACGACCGGGAGTGGTTTGGTGGCTCGGGAGTGGTTTGGCGGCTCGGTCTTAGAAGACATCACCCATGAGGTCAGGTTAGAGTAAAGAGGATCCCGATCCAGGCTAGGCCATGTCGTTATAAAAGAAGAGAGACAGGGCAGAGAGCAGCAGGCTCCACGCAAGCGCAATACAGGTGGTTCCCGAGTGACTGATATAGTCGGTGCATACTGATGTCTACAAATGGCCCTGAGGACCACCTGCTTTGTTTTCAATGTCTTATCATTGGTCATATGTACTACGTAGGTTAGGATGTGTCGTTGGCTGAGGTCGTCATCCTCATCCACACGCACAGGTTCAAGTTTATGATTTATAAAGCGACTGCTAAGAAAAGGCACTAATAAAAAAACCTCAAACAAAACAAAACGACAAACAAGAGAGTCGTTGGGACAGGACCCCATTATAGATCAGGGATGACCTGTGAAGTAACCTTAGGTGCCAGAAGGAAAGCGGGACCTGACTCTCGCTCAGAGCCCAGAGAAGCGATGACCACGGCGGATCGCTGGTTCTAGACCACCCTCCAGATGGAGCCAGTATGCTCTGCTGATGTGCTATGTGATGTGTCCTCCTTTGGGATGGTTGTGTGTTAAGTGCCGCGGGGTCAGACCCTGTGTACGACAGAACAGAACCCCACCCGGTCGTGTGCCTGCCTCACAACTGTTCCTATGTTTGAGCCCATCAACACAGCCCCGAGCCAATTCAGCTTATTGGAGTTCTTCCTCTCTTCCGCTGCTCCACTAGTTTACCAAGCATGATGTCCTTCTCCGGGGACTGGTCTCCTCTGACAACATGCCTAAAGTTCATGAGATGAAGTCTCCCGATCCTTGCCTCTAAGGAGCATTCTGTTTGGACCCCTTCCAAGACAGGTTGGTTCTTGCTGGGACTTCCCATAGTCTGCGCCAGCACCATCGGTCAAACGCATTGATTCTCCTTCGGTTTTCCTTAGGCAGGGTCCAACTGTTACATGCAGCTTGAGAACACCACGGCTTGGGTGCACCTCAAAGTAACCTCCTTTCTTGTCAACACTTGGGGATGGTTGTGGCTTTCAGGTGCCAGTGAGTCCAGTCAGACCCACAGCGACCCTACGCACCACAGAAGGAAACACTGCCAGTCCTGCGCCACCCTCACCATTGTTCCTATGACTGGTAACCATGGTTGCCGCGACTGTGTTAGTCCATCTTGCCACTGTGTCAGTCCATCTCATCAAAAGCCTTCTCCTTTGCTGCCCCTCCATTTACTTTACTAAACATGATGCGATGGTAGCCCGTGGGATCGATGCGATGGTAGCCCGGGGGATGATAAAGAGACTTTCCCCCAGCTTTGTCTCTCCCAAAGACATGCCAAACATTACAGGCTATTTGGCAGCATATGGTGGGGGGTCAGATGCTTAGAGACATCCTCCCTGAAGGCAGTCAGTTGCCAGACTACTGTCTGGTCCCACCACAGGTAGGGCACGCTCCCTGCTGTTAAGGACAATGGGTCACTTCTCCCTAAAGGCTTGTGACCATTAGTCTGGTCCCTGTAGGTGGGGTTTACACCCTACTGATAATGGTTTCTATGGAGAGCCAGAGAACAGGTCAAACCTGCTCTGCCATCCTGAATCTAGGATCCGCCCTTCTTGTCACACGTGTGCCCCCAATCCCTCCCCTTCCTATTGCGTGTATGTTCCTAGATTGTCCCCCTCTCATTGCTGTATAACCTATAGTGTAACCCCTTCCTGTGACATATGTCTTTATCTGTAATTAGTGGGCTTGCATACTCCCCCAAAGATAGATAAGCCTTGGTTAGCAATAAAGAGTCTCCTTGGCCTCGCTGCCCTGTTCCCTTTCCCCTTGTCCTTCTTAACCTCCCCCTCTCTCCTGCCCTCCGGTCTCCCCGTGGACCACCAAGAGGGGCTGAGGTGAGCATGCTACTGTGAAATGTGTCTGACTCCACTATTTCAATATCTTCTATCTCTCATGCTCTCGATGACTTTAATCTTTACTTATTATTGCTGTACAATTGCGTCTACCGGCCCCGTGATGATGTATTAGGGACTGGTTTTCCCTCACACAGTAGCCTAAGGAAACCAATACAGCCTTGGAGGTGAGGCTTGCCACCCCATCTCTCTGTGGGTGTCTTCTGGCCTTATCTGAATGCCCTCTCCACATATGCATATCCACAGCCTCTAGGTCCATGGTTCTCAACCTTCCTAATGCCAAGAACCTTGAATACAGTTGGGCTGCTAACTGCAAGGTCAGCAGTTCAAAACCCGCAGCCCACCAGGAGAAAGAGGGCGCTTTCTACTCCTGTGAAGAGTTGCGGTCTCTGAAACCCACCGGGGGAAGTTCAACCCTGTCCTACAGCATCACCATGAGTCAGAATGGCGTTGACTGGCGAGGGTTCTGGGAACTCCAGAAAGGGGACTGGTGGTTTCCCGAGGGTGGGCAAGTGGGAACGACAGCCTTGGAAACCCACCAGGGCAGGTCCACTCTGCCCTACAGGGTCACTGTGAGTCAGGATGGACTCGCTGCGATCCCATTGTACCAAGTACCCTCGCGGATTATTTGTTCGGCAGACTGAATAAATATGGCGAAAGGACACGACCCTGGCACACACCTCTCCTGATTTTAAACCATGCGGCATCCCCTCGCTCTGTTCCAAGAACTGCCTGTTGAGGTCCATGCCCAGGTTCCTGCAGAACCGAGTGGACGGCTCCTTTGGATTTCCGAGACTAACTCGTTCCTGGAAGCAAACGACCTCAACTTTCTCCCTCTGTGCGCCCCGTGGTGGGAACGCCGCCTTCCAGTTTACAGCCCAATGCTTAGCCCGCAGCGCCACCAGGGTGCTCAGCTCTGAGCGCCCGAAAACGGCCCCACTCACCAGTCAGAGATGACAATCTCAATGCGGCCGCTATCCAGCAGTTCCGGCCAGAAGCCCTCTTCCTTAAGGTTCACCACCTGCCGCTTGTGACACCAGCTAAGAAGGCGGGAATCAGGGGCCGTGAGAACACGCAGCTCCTGGCCCTGGAAGGGCGCGGGAGGCGCGTGGGGGCCAGGGGCACTGACCTGAAGGAACTCACAAAGCAGGTCTGCGCGGGGGCCCCAGGCACCGGGGTCCTGTTCTCTTCCACCACCCAGCCGTCCCCACCGTGGTCCACCGCCCATTTCAGAAGGCCTTCTGTTATAACGGAAAAAAGCCGGGGGCCCCCGTTCGTCGCCTGGCACGCTCTACTCTGCACACTGGGGAGGGTCACCAGGAGTCCGCCAGGGTGCAAAGCCACCAGGCTTCCCA